TGCTATAAGCTTCTTGCTATAGGCTTCTTGCTGTAGGCTTCTTGCTGTAGGCTTCTTGCTATAAGCTTCTTGCTATAAGCTTCTTGCTATAAGCTTCTTGCTATAAGCTTCTTGCTATAGGCTTCTTGCTGTAGGCTTCTTGCTATAAGCTTCTTGCTATAAGCTTCTTGCTGTAGGCTTCTTGCTATAAGCTTCTTGCTATAAGCTTCTTGCTATAAGCTTCTTGCTATAAGCTTCTTGCTATAAGATTCTTGCTGTAGGATTCTTGCTGTAGGATTCTTGCTATAAGCTTCTTGCTATAAGCTTCTTGCTATAAGCTTCTTGCTATAAGATTCTTGCTGTAGGATTCTTGCTGTAGGCTTCTTGCTATAAGCTTCTTGCTATAAGCTTCTTGATGTAGGCTTCTTGCTATAAGCTTCTTGCTGTAGGCTTCTTGCTGTAGGCTTCTTGCTGTAGGCTTCTTGATGTAGGCTTCTTGCTATAGGCTTCTTGATGTAGGCTTCTTGCTATAAGCTTCTTGCTGTAGGCTTCTTGCTGTAGGCTTCTTGCTATAAGCTTCTTGCTATAGGCTTCTTGCTGTAGGCTTCTTGCTGTAGGCTTCTTGCTGTAGGCTTCTTGTTGTAGGCTTCTTGCTGTAGGCTTCTTGCTGTAGGCTTCTTGCTATAAGCTTCTTGCTATAAGCTTCTTGCTATAGGCTTCTTGCTGTAGGCTTCTTGCTGTAGGATTCTTGCTGTAGGCTTCTTGCTATAAGCTTCTTGCTGTAGGATTCTTGCTGTAGGCTTCTTGCTATAAGCTTCTTGCTGTAGGCTTCTTGCTATAAGCTTCTTGCTATAAGCTTCTTGCTATAAGATTCTTGCTGTAGGATTCTTGCTGTAGGCTTCTTGCTATAAGCTTCTTGCTATAAGCTTCTTGATGTAGGCTTCTTGCTATAAGCTTCTTGATGTAGGCTTCTTGCTGTAGGATTCTTGCTGTAGGCTTCTTGCTATAAGATTCTTGCTATAAGCTTCTTGCTATAAGCTTCTTGCTATAAGATTCTTGCTGTAGGATTCTTGCTGTAGGATTCTTGCTATAAGCTTCTTGCTATAAGCTTCTTGCTATAAGCTTCTTGCTATAAGCTTCTTGCTATAAGCTTCTTGATGTAGGCTTCTTGCTATAAGCTTCTTGATGTAGGCTTCTTGCTATAAGCTTCTTGCTGTAGGCTTCTTGCTGTAGGCTTCTTGATGTAGGCTTCTTGCTATAGGCTTCTTGATGTAGGCTTCTTGCTATAAGCTTCTTGCTGTAGGCTTCTTGCTGTAGGCTTCTTGCTGTAGGCTTCTTGATGTAGGCTTCTTGCTATAGGCTTCTTGATGTAGGCTTCTTGCTATAAGCTTCTTGCTGTAGGCTTCTTGCTGTAGGCTTCTTGCTGTAGGCTTCTTGCTGTAGGCTTCTTGATGTAGGCTTCTTGCTATAGGCTTCTTGCTGTAGGATTCTTGCTATAAGCTTCTTGCTATAAGCTTCTTGATGTAGGCTTCTTGCTGTAGGCTTCTTGCTGTAGGATTCTTGCTATAGGCTTCTTGCTGTAGGCTTCTTGCTGTAGGCTTCTTGCTGTACGCTTCTTGCTGTAGGCTTCTTGCTGTACGCTTCTTGCTGTAGGCTTCTTGCTGTAGGCTTCTTGCTATAGGATTCTTGCTGTAGGATTCTTGCTGTAGGATTTGCTACACCTGACAACCAGATAATGAAATGTGTCTGAAAGTTTGGAACATCAGTTCAATGAGAATTGATTCTAATGTAATTATTATTTTTATTTACTTGTTTATTGACAACCAAAATGATCTCTGATCCATAATACAATGGCTTCTTATACATGCTTCACTATGCTTGCCATGCTTTGTGTGGTGCAGCAGCCGAACCTTCAGGTGCTGCTCAGTGGCTTCAGTAGTACTGCTATTCAAGGCGCAGTGCTCTTTTGCTATATAGAGATATAGCTCTCAGTGAAAGATCCCTATTCTGCTGACTTGTACCTGCTTAAAATATAACTCAGAATACAGACAGAAACCTTCTGTTGAACACAGATCATGTGAATACAAGGGGAAGAAGAAGCTTGTTCTGAGAGCAGAGGCTCCCAGCGGACACATTACCTCTCTTCCTGTGTGTTCGTCGACCACACGGAGAAAGAGACTCTGGGGACAGCGTGCTGGAGGTAGACTGCACTCTTCTTCTTCTTCTTCTTCTTCTTCTTCTTCTTCTTCTTCTTCTTCTTCTTCTTCTTCTTCTTCTTCTTCTTCTTCTTCTTCTTCTTCTTCTTCTTCTTCTTCTTCACACTTTTGAATCACATTCTCTCTGGCTCCTATTCAAAATGAAAAGCAGAAGTGTGTCTGTCAGGAGTCTGGTGTGAAGGTGGAAAGAGAGACAGATGGAGGGGTGTAAGATGAATGATAAGCTGCTGTAGAGCCCTTTCTAGAGGCACAGTGTGGACTAGCACGTTGGATCGGGCTGAGGCCGCCGCTGCTGGATCTCAATGCAAACAGGTCATAGGAACAGGAAATACAACCATTTTGATTATGAATCACTAGATAGAGATTTTGCCTGAGAAAGGAACACTAACAAGGAGTCATCTTGCCTTGAACTAATCTTCAAATCTTTAAGTCTTTAACCAACCATTTCCAGACCATAAATCCTGCAGAAGGTATGAACAAAGAGCCAGTTCAAGTACAGGTCTGCAGTTACATCCTGTTCCCATGTGTGGGGCGCCAACAGTTACTGTAGGTGTAAAATGGTTGAGCATGTAGGAGGATTACATCAACGTGTTGTTGTTTAGCTCAGTGTCTGTGTGGAGCAGCTTCCTTTCATCCACCATTCATTGTTTCATTGTTTACTATTACATTTGACTATATTTTTACAACAGTTCTGTCTGTACATCAAACACTTGGAGGCTGGCTCCTCTTCCTTACTGAGAGAAGAGGGGGCAGCATCAATCCTGACCCATAATGCATCAGTTTCTGGTATCACTGTGAACAACTGAGCGCCTCTGAGGAGCCAGGAGGTGGAGAGAGAAGATAAATTATCAATCCCACAGTTGCTATTGTGCTTTGAGCTAGGCGAGAGGCCACATAGCGCTCTGGCTCTGTCATCCCCCCCGGCTCTGCTGTGAAATCCTCTATTTGCGGCTCCAGTGTACAGATAACATGTAACCAATGTCCTGGTGCTGAGGGACTCAGGCTCCTGCTCCAAGAATAGAGCTACGTCAAAGGGCCACACTTGGTCAAAGCCATAGTGCCAATACAGTGACTATCAATATGTTGTTAAATAATTAAATAAAGTCATTTGTAAACGTTTATTTCTGTTAGTGTCCGGAGTGGTGAATGTGTCCTATGGTATGATTGGTACATGCTGTGATAAATCAGTTCAGTCTGTAAAAGTCTGTTAAGGTTTTTTTATTTCTCCCTGTTTCACTCTCAGCACTGAAGATGGTACCCTCAATCTTGGTTGTGAATCATTTTTTACCCCACCATTTCATTACTCATAAATTCAAATGAAGCAAGGCTTAACGGTGACCCATGTGAACCCTGAACAGAACGCATGCCAAACCACAATAAGCAGGACAATAAAGATCCTGCCGGGTTCCCAGAAAGGACTCAACAAGGCTCTCTGCTGTAAATGTAGCATTTGGAATAAAACAGCTTGTAATTCAGAGAGCGCGATGTAAATAACTCTTAGCAGACGGGGCGGATGAACTTTGTTCCCAGGGGACCGAGAGTTTAACGGAGTGAGTCAAAGCTCCACGTCTGATGGACACGTTTTCAGCTGCTATGGATTCAAACCCATACCGCAGGACTGAAGGAAAAGAGTTGCTCTATAAATTCAGATTTCTACAAAACATAAAAGATCTTATAAAACATGATGCTCTTTCATATATATTAATAACTAACAGTACAGTATGTTCAATTAAAGAAAAGGTTAATTAACAGTAAATCTCCAAACATTTGAAAGGTAAAGATATAAAACATATCATGGGTTTTATATGTGAGGCTTTGCTGACTCTCTTTTCATCGTTTTCAACATTTACAATAAAGTAGACAAAGCATTATAAAAGTGGCTGCGGGACATTCCTCATGTTCAGGAGAACAGCTTGTTAACATGGCAGACAACGCTGGCAACAAATCATCAGTGCACAACAATGTGGCAACAATACATGTACACAAGTCATATAGTTCTTTGATTTTAAAGCCAGAGAAGAAAACAGAAAAACGTTTACAATTATCAACATTTCCAGTGGTGGTAACTAACTAACTAACCAACCAACTAACTAACTAACTAACTAACTAACTAACTAACTAACTAACTAACTAACTAACTAACTAACTAACTAACTAACTAACTAACTAACTAACTAACTAACTAACTAACTAACTAACCAACTAACTAACTAACTAACCAACTAACTAACCAACTAACTAAGCAACTAACTAACTAACCAACTAACTTAACTAACTAACCAACTAACTAACCAACTAACCAACTAACTAACCAACTAACTAACCAACTAACTAACCAACCAACTAACTAAACTAACTAAACTAACTAACTAACTAATTAACCAACTAAATAAATAACTAACCAACTAACCAACTAACTAACCAACCAACTAACTAACTAACTAACTAACTAACTAATTAACCAACTAAATAAATAACTAACTAACTAACTAAACTAACAAACTAAATAATAAACAGACATTGACATGTAATTATAGCATATCCAACAGCATTATATAAAGTCCTTTCTTCTACATTATCCAGCTGTGATGAACACATTCGTGCATTAATATCATAATAAAGTCATAATACAATAAGTATATATCGCAGGACCGTCTGCTCAAGCTCCAATCTATCATCCAATCATGATACTCGCTGTCCATTGTGAGATTGGACCTAAACCAATCACGACGCGAGTTCACAATGGACGGAGCCAATCATGTCACGGCATCACAATGGACAGAGCCACTCACGGCACGGCTTCTCCCCGAACCCGCCCCCCTCACGCTTTTGGTTGACACAGTGGACAAGTCGCGAGGCGCATTAGAGGTATTCAGAGTAAGTAACAACACTACATGTTTCTATTTTCCCGTTTACAGTCATAAAACCTATTTTTACAACCGTCGTTTTGGCGTCAACTTTTACATTACGGTATACAGTCGGCCACTTCAGTCTGCATAAAGTTAGCAAGCCAGCATTGCTAATGCTATCGTGTCTAGGTTAAATACACGTTATTATATTAATCAATGTCAACAGCCATGTGTTATACATCCGATTGACAACAGTAATTTAAATAAGTTGTTAAACGACTCTTGTATGAATGGGCATGTTGTAATTAGTAACTACACTTCTGTGAGCAGTGGTACATTAGTCATACAGCATATATACTGTATACACAGAGGTGGGAAGTAACTAAGAACATTTACTCAAGTACTGTACTTAAGTAGAATTTTGAGATACTTGTACTTCACTTGAGTGTTTCCATATTTGTCTACTGTGTACTTCTACTCCACTACAATTCAGAGGTAAATGGTGTACTTTTAATCCACTACATGTGTTTAATAGCTTACCTTTAGTTACTTTACAGATTTGGTTAAGATGCCTATTGGTTACTGGTGGCGTTTTATGAGTTTATGTTTATCAGTTTATTTGTTCATATAGACACCTAAAGTATATCATATATTATATGACATAAATATCTTTATGTGAGATAAGGGATCGTTGCTCAGTATGATATGATAAAGTGTGTTATATGCTCCAGGAAGGATACAGTATATTGTTGAATATATATTAAAGATAGCTATATACTGTATATAACATTACATTAATTGTAATTTAATATACATACATCAATCATTTATGGATAAAAGGATAACTTCACCGTTTATGAACATCATGTGTTTATACATGATTATATGTGTAGATAACCTGTATAAATAATGGTTAACATGGTATCAGTGTTGTTCGCTTTGCAGTGTAGTTCTCTCTAACACTTGAATTGTTATTTTACTTAAAGTTTAGATGATCACTAAACCTATAAGCCATAAAGAAATGGGAGATGCAGAATGGACGGGCTTTGGCCTTCAGGAGGGATGAACCCGCTCCAAGGAAACAGAAGTGACGTGACCTCTGTCAGAAGGTAAAGTATAGAAACATGTACCTCTTACTTATTATTCACAAATGATAAGTATATTACTGAACATTTACAATTGACTGGTGCAAACATTATCAATCAAATGATTTACACTGAGTGACTCACTCCAGACTAAAACATAATGATGATAGTTTCAGATTAAGAAATGCCTCATGCATACATTTTATATCACACCCCCAGTAGTTACCCCCAGAGCCCAGCCTCCTCCCAAGCAGTCTCTGGGTGCTGTCCATGTACGGCAGGGATATCCTCTCCCACATGGACCATATCAAGGCCAGCATCACCTCCACATTTAGTTCCATCTTAAAGATGGACTCAACCAAAAAGGTCAAATATAACGTGACTGAGTATTTGATTTCCATGTTTGTTAAACTCTCTTATAAACAATAACATTAAAAACTAGTTTTTATTATAAATGTGTTCGGTTATAAATCTGGAAACATTAACTGCTATAGATCATTTCTAATAAATGCCTCAACTTCGCTGTTGTCACATTCCAGATCACAAAGCATCAAAGCAAGGTGGAGCAGCTGTTCCCTGCTCAACCCTCTGGCCCTCAGGTGGAGATGTAGCTCTTCCCTGCTCCACCCTCTGGCCCTCAGGTGGAGATGTAGCTGTTCCCTGCTCCACCCTCAGGTCCACAGGTGGTGTTGCAGCTCTTCCCTGCTCCACCTTTGGGCTCCATGATATTTACACCAGTGAGCTCACAGGTTCCTGTCCTGGTCGGTGCTCCACAGGCTCTGAATGCCAGCCTCTCTCTGCTGTTCCTGCTCCTGCTCCTGCTCCTGCTCCTGCTCCTGCTCCTGCTCCTGCTCCTGCTCCTGCTCCATACAGCCACACACTGACCCGCAGAGTACTGCCCAACACGTGTGAAGGTGTGGGAGGTTTGGGACAGCGGACACTGGACACAGCCAGTACAGGGAGTAGTGAACTACATTGTGCCAAAGGAGCAGTGGTTGGCGGACATAACAACATGTATCTCCCCCCCACCAGAGGCATGGACACTGGACACTTATTTATGTATATAGTTCCGTGTATAGTTTGATATTTATTTATATATATGATATGTATATATTTTATTAAGTTTATGATAATGTTTATTTGATGTTAAAACTCATTTAGAGTGTTATTTTTGTTATACTGCACCTTACTTACTTTTAAGGGTTGTTTTACATTGTATTAAGTTGAAGTACTTTAAAATAAAGGTGTGGTTCTATCAAGTACGTGACTGTCCAATAATTGAGTGGAGTGCTATGTTTAGAATTTCTATATGTTTTCTCTTTGTTTGTTAAAAGACAGACATTATAACACCAATACCTTCTTAGTTCATATTACATGTAATGGTTACATTTCATTATTTATCCACAGCACACAAACCATGAGCTTCAATACAGGTCCATATTGGTTACTTCAAAACTATCCCTGATAAAGAAAATAATAATAATTGTATGTAATAAACTTGAAAGAAGTAGATACGTTTTACTTAATATTTATTAGAAATATATAATATTTAATAGAAATGTGTTAATAGTTAACTGCATAACACAAGTGTATTAGTCAACAAACGCATACTTTGTTGGTCTTTATTAAAGTACTTCTGTATATAAATACTTGTACATGCTACAGAAGGGAAACAGGGAGCCAGAGAATAGGTTTTTTCTCCTCTTTTTCTCTTTTTCCCTCTCTTTTTCCCTCTTTTTTCCTCCTTTTTCTTCTTCCCCCTTCTTCCCCCTTCTTCTCCTTTCTCCCCCCCCCTTGCAAGACTATTGTTCCCCAGCTTTGGCGCAGTGGATAGAGCCTTGGACTGGGGATCAGATGGTCACAGGTTCAAACCCCACTGCAGTCAGCATGTCGTTGTGTCCCTGAGACACTTCACCCCAAAGTGCTCTTGTGGGGATTGCCCACAGTATTGAGTATGGAAGTCACTTTGGATAAAAGCGTCTAACAAGTAACAAAGTAGGACTTCTAATTATAACATTCATTTAACAATTTGTTATCGCTACTATTACTTTAGTAAAAAATCTGAGATCTTCTTCCACCACTGTATATTTCAAAATCGCCCACTTTTTGCCCTATATATTACGAGGAGTTGTAATCAAAAGGCAATATGCAATATTACCAAGATTCATGCAGCTGGGTGCTGCTCATTGAATAAAGCGAGACTGATCTGTGATCAGCGGAGGGCTTCCTCTGAGGAACAGTGCTAATGATGAGTCTTTGTCTCCATCACGTCATCACGTCATCCCTGCTGAACCTGCAGAGGAAACACAGGAGGACTTTCTGATTCCTTCATTTTGACTTTTTAGTTTTAGATTTGAAAAAAGAGTGCTTCCTTTTCACCAGCGTTGCACATTGTGCTGCATCACTCAGCACGGCCCTGTAGTGATGCAGTCACAGGGGGATCAGACCTCCTGCTGCTCCTGCTCCTCAGGTCCCCCTCAGGTGCCCCCCCCCCCAGGTGCTCCCCCCCCAGGTGCTCCCCCCCCCAGGTGCTCCTGCTCCCCCCCAGGTGCTCCTCCTACTGCTCCCCCCCAGGTGCTCCTCCTCCTGCTCCCCCTCAGGTGCTCTTCCTCAGGTTCCCCCCCTCAGGTGCTCCCCCCCCCCCCCCCAGGTGCTCCTCCTGCTCCTCCTGCTCCCCCTCGGGTTCCCCCCCCCAGGTGCTTCTCCTCCTGCTCCTCCTCAGGTTCCCCCCCCAGGTGCTCCTCCTGCTCCTCCTGCTCCCCCTCGGGTTCCCCCCCCCGGTGCTCCTCCTGCTCCTCCTGCTCCCCCTCGGGTTCCCCCCCCCCCCCAGGTGCTTCTCCTCCTGCTCCTCCTCAGGTTCCCCCCCAGGTGCTCCCCCCCCCAGGTGCTCCTCCTGCTCCTCCTCAGGTTCCCCCCCAGGTGCTCCTCCTGCTCCTCCTCAGGTTCCCCCCCCTCAGGTGCTCCTCCTGCTCCTCCTCAGGTTCCCCCCCCAGGTGCTCCTCCTGCTCCTCCTCAGGTTCCCCCCCTCAGGTGCTCCTCCTGCTCCTCCTCAGGTTCCCCCCCTCAGGTGCTCCCCCCCCCAGGTGCTCCTCCTGCTCCTCCTCAGGTTCCCCGCCCAGGTGCTCCCCCCCCCAGGTGCTCCTCCTGCTCCTCCTCAGGTTCCCCCCCTCAGGTGCTCCCCCCCCCAGGTGCTCCTCCTGCTCCTCCTCAGGTGCCCCCCCTCAGGTGCTCCTCCTCATGTTGCTTCTGTTAGAGATGCATTCTCTAATCGGGGGTGTCAAAGACAGAAGAGGAGAGGAACAGGGGGGGGGGGCCTCACAGGAGACGCCTGCGTTCACAGCTCTGCAGGAGCAGCGGAGTGTCGCAGCGACAAGCCAACTGTCAGTCTGCCCCCCCCCCCCCCCCCCTCCCTCCTGTACGCTGGCAGGAAGAGAGTGCTCCAGATCATTTACCCCCGAGTGGGAGAGAGAGGAGCGTCTGCAGCTGGAACAGATTGTTGTGTGTTCTGAAGGGTGGGAATTACTCGCTGTACGAATACATGTCTGTTATTCACGCAGCTGGGAACAAGCTGAAGGAGCTGAGTCTTTCTGGGCCATAACACCCCACCCCCCCCTGCTGCTGGGCCGGATCACTGCAGGTGTGCTCAGACGGTAGTGACCCTTTACAGCAGAGCACTGACTGGAGTTCATTTTAGTCATAATAATCCAGGTATTGCAGGGAAATAGAGAAGTGAGGGAAGAGGAAGCTGGTGTAACATTCACATCACATTTGTTTCTGTGCTGAATGTGCAAAACCTGAGCAACACAGATCTGTCGGTGTTTCCACACCACACAATGTGCCCTGCCAGTGTAGTGTTAGCTCATAGCAACCCACATGCACTCTGCACATTGCTCTCAGCTTGATGGAGCTTTATCTTACTGTAAGATACACACAGACATATCATGCAACTTGACTGGTTTAAGGTCATTCTCGCCACTTAGGCACTGGTTTTCAGCAACAACAGAAATCATGGTATGCAGGCTGGCTGGTGGAGAGGAGTGAGGTATTCAGTCACTGGAGATTGGGAACATGGAATTGGTTTAGCATTAGTTTTCATGTGTTTATATTGTAGAAAGCACGTTTGTTGGCCGTGGAACAGCCTCCCATTCGATCTTAGAACAGCAAACTCCTTTGGAATTCTTACAAGTTAAAGACCCATCTTTTTAATTTGGCTTTTAATTTGGAGTAATGTTAGTGGTATCACTGTGCATGTTCCATTGTTTAATGGGTCTGTGAACTCACTCTTTCTGTTTGTTTTTAATAATTTGATTTTAATGATGTTCCTCCCTCTTTATTTTTTACTCATTGTTATTTTTATGTATCTTGTCTTGTTGGGTAAAGCCCTTTGGGCTGCATCTTGCATGAAAGGTGCTATGTAAATAAAGTGTATCATTATTATTATGTAAGCACTTAACTAAATATCAGCATTGATGACTTCAGATGGTCCAGGTGACTTCAGATGGTCCAGGTGACTTCAGATGGTCCAGATGACTTCAGATGGTCCAGGTGACTTCAGATGGTCCAGATGAGATGGTCCAGGTGACTTCAGATGGTCCAGATGAGATGGTCCAGGTGACTTCAGATGGTCCAGATGAGATGGTCCAGGTGACTTCAGATGGTCCAGATGACTTCAGATGGTCCAGATGAGATGGTCCAGGTGACTTCAGATGGTCCAGATGACTTCAGATGGTCCAGGTGACTTCAGATGGTCCAGATGAGATGGTCCAGATGACTTCAGATGGTCCAGGTGACTTCAGATGGTCCAGATGACTTCAGATGGTCCAGATGAGATGGTCCAGGTGACTTCAGATGGTCCAGATGACTTCAGATGGTCCAGATGACTTCAGATGGTCCAGGTGACTTCAGATGGTCCAGATGAGATGGTCCAGATGACTTCAGATGGTCCAGATGAGATGGTCCAGATGACTTCAGATGGTCCAGATGAGATGGTCCAGGTGACTTCAGATGGTCCAGATGACTTCAGATGGTCCAGATGACTTCAGATGGTCCAGGTGACTTCAGATGGTCCAGATGAGATGGTCCAGATGACTTCAGATGGTCCAGGTGACTTCAGATGGTCCAGATGAGATGGTCCAGATGACTTCAGATGGTCCAGATGACTTCAGATGGTCCAGGTGACTTCAGATGGTCCAGATGACTTCAGATGGTCCAGATGAGATGGTCCAGATGACTTCAGATGGTCCAGATTACTTCAGATGGTCCAGATGACTTCAGACGGTCCAGATGACTTCAGATGGTCCAGATGAGATGGTCCAGATGACTTCAGATGGTCCAGATGACTTCAGACGGTCCAGATGAGATGGTCCAGATGACTTCAGATGGTCCAGATGACTTCAGACGGTCCAGATGACTTCAGATGGTCCAGATGAGATGGTCCAGATGACTTCAGACGGTCCAGGTGACTTCAGATGGTCCAGATGAGATGGTCCAGATGACTTCAGATGGTCCAGATGACTTCCGATAGTCCAGGTGACTTCAGATGGTCCAGGTGACTTCAGATGGTCCAGGTGACTTCAGATGGTCCAGGTGACTGTGGTTTGCGCTAATGATGCACCCTAATCACAAAAAGTCCCCAAACATGAATTTCGCACCATGTCCGGAGACACAGCCCTTGTAACCGCTGAGACGTCTGCATGCTGTCCTCAGGTTTGCTTCTCCATGCCAGGCTACTTGTAGTTGGATCCACCTCACTAAAGACCCTGCTTTAAGGAGACCCCTGACTACATTACGCTCAGAACATGCTCCCCTACATCTGCTCCGGGGCTCCATATCCGCACTTATCTCTGGCAGATGATTGACAGGTCGGGGTTTATTTCCCCTGAGACCGCCTTCTCCCCCTGTTCTCCTCTCATTGGGTGATCTCCCTCCTCGCTCTCATTACGGCCCTTATCTCTGTGCCCTGCTCATAAGGTTTATCTTTTTAATTATGTCGCCGCTAACCTGCTGGACAGGCTTCATGAGTGCCTATCAGGGGCCAGGGTCTCCTGTGTTCCAGACCTTTCTGCTGTCTGCGTATACACACATACACACAAGCACATACACACTCCTCACAGTCCCACTCAGGCCAAGCCCCCCTCTTTTTCCTCACATACAAACCTTTGTGTTCAGGGTCTATTGACAAGAGATAACCCGTTCAAGCTCAATTATACATTCTGTTTCTCTTCCTGTGTCTCTGTCCTCCTC